CTTCTGTACTTCTCTTCTTTGGGGGTCAGAGTATGACACACAGTCAACCCTCTAGAACAACTGAGGCATTTGTCCTCATAGTTGCATGTTAATTATCTCTCCTGGGAAATGGTGAGATGGATGAGAGAAACTAGGGGCTTTTAACTGAAGGAGGAATTTTGCTAGAGGTGGACAGGTAAGTAGCAGGTCTGAGGAGAAGTTCCCACAGGTCAAGAAGCTTTGAAGCCAAGATGAAATTGTCCCTGGAACCTCCCTCAGCTTTGTCTTAAAAGATCTTTCACCATCTAGAAGGTACCCCACCTGAGCACAATTAGCAACATAGCATGGCCCTGGATGATCACCTTGACTTCAGAAAACCTCGTGTTTCTAGTTTGAATGACACTGGAGCAAGAGTGCACATGTTTGGATGATAACAGGCAATCTGTGCCTCTCAATTTTAGGGCATACCAGAATTCCAGAACTGCCACATACAGTCAGAATAATTGGAGTGTAATCTAACCAGGGTGTCTGATGCAGGTGAAACTGCCCAGACCCCATTCAGGATTGTTGGGGACCTTTAGGGCTGCAGTGACATTCAGTGGCTTGATATCATATCTGTCCAGATGTTCAAGGTGCCTGATAATGAGAAGACCAGAAAGACTTGCTTCTGCCCTTTACAAGTCTTGGAGGCCATCATCTCCCCTAGCTCCCATTTCATTTTTCCTGTCCTGGAAATTGGACCATTTGCTGACCTGTTTGGAAGTCTTATTCTTAAACATGAAATAGGGGTGATCCTCTTTCCTGAAAAAAAGAGCACGCCACACCCTAGGATGCAAGAATTAGCTCCAGAAGGAGAGTCTTGTCTTTTCATTTGTAATCTGGGCAGGTCCTTCACCTGGCCTGCTCTGGGTAATTACCAAGAACCATCCTTCCTAGCTGTAGGTTGTTGTCAGGTGCGTATGTAGGCCCAGAAGCCTCCCAAGTCCAGCCACAGAAGCAAACCCCTGACTCCCTCCCCTGGTTCTGCTATCACTCTGAACCAAGAAATCAGGAAGAACTGCTTTGAACGCTGCTGGATAGGACACAGAACAAAACTAGGTTCAGAGAGTGATCAGCTCATATTTACTCCGTGCAGTACTAGGTAGACGTGTGCTTACTTCTGGAATTGCCCCTTCTGTTTGACTTCTGGTTCTTACTCTATCCATAAAGGGGGTTTGTGGCATTCATCATTCAGCAGATGTTTCTGTTTAAGGCACTAAGAATACAGCAATGAGCAAAATAGATAAAGTCCCTGTCCATGTGGAAGTTACATTCTGTGGGACATGCAGAAAACAAGATATCTATATCCATATCTATACCTAATCTATATCTTTATCTCTGTTAAGGAGAAAAAAATAAAGCAGAGAAGATGTAAAATGTCCATGGAAGAAGGAAAGTCAAATGCTGTATTAGAGAAGTGACCAGTGCTTAGTAACATTCTGTGCATTTTTGAGTAAATAATGTGGTTTCTCTATACTGCTATACTTTGTTTTGTCAAAAGGGCTGATGTCTTTTGGGAGGATCCAGAGCTCAGGACTCAGCATGTAGACAGAAATTGAGAAATATTTTTGGCCCGTGGGAGGCTGAGTCAGGAGGATTGCTGTGAGTTCAAGGCCAGTCTGGGTTACATAGTGAGTTCAAGGCCTGCCTGAACTACACAGTGAGACCTTGTGTAAAAAATTTTTTTGAATGAAACATGAAAGTATTTTGTGTGTGTGTGAAACATGATGATGATGGTGGTAGTGATAAAGATGTTTTAAAAATAAATTTCAGGGCCGGGGATTTAGGTCAGTTGTGGCACTACCTGCCTCATAAACTCAAGGTCCTGAGTTCAAGCCCCAGCACACACACACACACACACACACACACACACACACAAAGTAAATTTCAGAATCTTCCTTTTTCTTCAGATGACAAGGATCTGTGGAATATTCCAGCATGCCTGAGTGCCTTCACTGAGCCTTGAGTATTCTTAGTTTGCTCTTAGATTGTAATTTCAACAGGGAAATATTCCACATACGTCCCCCCCCCAAATAACACTAAAGTATTCTTATGTAATGAGGCTCACCACCAAAAAAAAAAAAAAAAAAAAAAAAAAAAAAAAGAAAAAAAAAAAAAAAAAAAAAAAAAAAAAAAAAGCTGAGGAAAAACAAAAAGCTTTTTTCCCCCTCCAGTTTGCACTTTCTGCTGATCAGGAGCTATCAAGTTCTGGTTATATCCAAACCTCAAAGTACCCTGGGATTAACTTGCTGTGTGTCTTTGGGCAAAGTGAGCTACTTTTCTGGATTCCTTCATCCTGCATAGGTTTGGCTCACAAAGCCAGTCTTTGGAGGCTTGTTAAATATAAAACAGAAGAAAACAACTTTACACCACTCAATTACGTCAAACTGTAATAACGCAAGAGAATGATTCCAGGTCAGAGGAAGTCAGAGACTCTCACCTTGGTGATCTGGTTTCAGGGTTATTTTTAGATCAAATAAAAGATGCTAAGTTTGAATTTTAATTTCAGATAAACAGGAAATGCGTATTAAATATGTCTCAAATAGCTCTTTGGGAATCTTCTACTACCTAAGATATGAAAGGCTAGAGACTTCTTCCAGATCTTTAAGCCAGAGAAGGCCAAAATTCAAATGCCTAGAAGAATCAGACAGGTGACATCTGATTTTCATGTGAAAATTCTTTATTTTTAAATGCCAGCCACACATTCAGTTAAATCAACATAACCCACCGTATAGATCAAGGGAAACAATCTGCGCTGTTTACTTTATAGACTCTGGTGAGGCCAACCTATTATATGGTAAGGAAATGAGGGTGCAGAACTAAGGTTTTTCAAAACACGACAGAACAATCATGGAGGCAGCTGAAGATGAGCAGCTGGAGAGCCCGCACCAGAGCATTCCATGCAGTTTGATGCATTTCAGGCAGCTGATTCCATCAGCTTATTCATCTGTGAGAACAGTACGCCCAGCCTCAGGACCACAACTGTCTCGTGTTCATCTTCACATAGGAAGGATCCTCTGAAAAATGTTGATAAAAGATTCTGAAAGGGCAAGGATGTGCTCTCAGACTGTGCAGGGAGAGGAGAGGAAGGACACAAAAGGAACAAATATTTATTAAGAGTAAGGTGAGCTGAAACTTGAGGCGAGTTCGATCTCTGGTGTGTGTGGGAGGGGGGTAAGGTGTGCCGTGCTCCGTAAAAGGTGTGGCATGTAATTCTTTGCCATCTTTGCATGTCTGAATACTTCTCATTCTTCAGATTTAACTCAAATGATACTTCGTCAGGCAGCTTTCCATGACTATCCTCTCTGAAGAAACTTCCCCTGAAACTATCTCTGGAACTTGTCTCTCCATTGCATTAAGACCTGGCAAGAGCCTGTAGTCTCCGTACTGTGGTAGAAGGATTGCAAGTCTGAGCCCTCCCTGGGCAATTTGGGGTTCAACCTCTCTACCTCCAACTATGTAATCATCTTGCTTATGTACACACTAGCTCGCCTTACCAAACGCAGGCTCCAAAAGGGAAGTCGCTTGGCACATTGTAAGTGCTCGGCAATTACGTTAAACGTTTATAAATATAGCTGTTCTGAAAGAATTTCGGCTACTCCTAAAGTTTTTCTTTTCCTCCTGCCCCCTTAACACCAAGTAGGAGGTAGTGCTGAATTTCTAGGGAGAAAGAAATAGTTAAGCGAAAAATTGGAAAGCAGAGCTGTAAAGCACTTTTTCTCCAGGTCGCACCGCAGCCTCTAGGACGGACTGTGGGACAGCTTGCAAATACATTATCTGCAAACGAAAGAAGCCTATTTTTAAAGATCCCTGAGTCCCGCAGCTCCAGGCGATGACCTCAGAGAACCCGTAGTCCCACCTCTGAGCCAAGCCTCGTGGTCTTCAAGAACTACGAGTTCCAGGACACACCGCGGGGCAGGGGCCTGGCGCTCCAGGAGCGGCCCTCCCACTCGGCTCACCTCGGCCTGCGCTGCGGAACCAGGAAGACG